AAAATTTCAGAGCCTTCAGAGCCTTTTACAATAACTATAGTGTAAGTAAAATGCCAGATTGTCAAATCATTGTCCAGTGCAGACATCTTATTTAGTGCTGACACATGTGATGGAAGATGTCACTGCAGGTTAACATATCACAGTCAAGACTCAAAGAAAAATAACTGGAATTAAATCTTAAAGGAAGAGAGCACAAGAGCAAGTTTTCTAATTCATGCCAAAAGCCAGTGAGACTTAGAATCAAGGGTTATCAAAGTACACAAGAGCCTCACAAACACACCATCACTCAGGTTGATATGACAACTGACTTCCTGATTCCTCTGAGATGCAAACTGTTATAGTTTTAATAGTACGTGTGTTCCCAACTGCCCAGAGCTCTCAGATTAGAGCAGAAATACAAGTAGCAACAATGCCGCAGAAGATGACAAATGCATCCTTCTCAGCTGAGAATTTAGACAGCCTTTAGCTTTTTTAAAGGTGGGAGGAAGCATAAAATGTTACAGCATCACAAATTGATACTGTAAAAAAAATCCTTAAAAAGAGATGTAAAAGGTGTGCAATTACAAATAATCATTCCCACACTTTCAGAGAAAGCATGGCAATAAACACACTACAAGATAAACACATAAGGTGTTTGGTCTCATAGGGAAAGAGGTAATGACTCCAACTGAAAAAAAATAGCTACAATAAAGTTGTAGATAGATAACAATATATTGTGATTTCTTTAGTATCTGCTTTAATACTACATTAGAGAAGGACATGACTAAAAGCCAAAAAAAGTTAAAATATTCTCAGTTACACAGGTGTGGCCATGTAGTCTTGAGGCTATTTCTCACATTTCGCTATACAAGGTAAGATCTTATAGCCCTTCTCTTTCACCACTTTCAAAAGCAGCATCTACAATGAAAGGAGACACACCAGCTGACTCCAGGGTTAAGGGGTTTGTATGGGATTTGGAATACCAAGGCTATATTCCCAACCCAGTTACAGGTTGCTCATGACCCCGGTAAAATCAGTCCAGGCAAGACCTCAAAAAAGACCTCAGCAGAGGATGCTCTTTAAACTTCAAGCCCTTTCTCTACCTGAGGACACATCAGCCTCGCTTCTCTCTAGGCTTAGTCTCTCCCTGGTCTACAATGCAAAAGGGACACACAGATATTTACAGTTGCTCTAGATCTACACAGACTCTGCACTCACCCAAGGCTGCAGGTGATTAACAAACTCTGAGAGGGGGACATGGTGCTGCGTGACTAGTAAAGAGCCTGCTCAAGGATCACAGTACAAACATGCATGTCTTCCTTTAGAATTGCAATGCAAAATAAAGCAGTTTCTACAAGACAGACTAAAAGAGTTAAATATCCTATCGCCTAATCAAAGCAAATCCCTGCTTAAACCAAGATCCACATCCCCCCAGGGCCCAGTTCTCTGGATACCGTGTATGGAAGGGTTCTTAGCCCCTCTGCACTGTGGATCCTGCTGCCTGACAAAACCCCTAAACTGTTTTGTCCATCATGACCACAACATTTCCACCTTTCCACTTACTACAGATATGCTGGAAGATTCAAAGTTTGAGGCATACAGCTACTGTGGTAGCAGGAACCATACAAGTACCTCAGAGAGGATTTGAGTAGACCAGCTCTTAATTTGCGACCATTATCTCCCAGGAGGTTTTGGTATTTTAAAAAGATCAACTAAAGTAGGTGGCTGAATACCAATACAGATTGATGACAACAGCCACACACAAACTGACAAGTTCTTTTCCTCTCTATCATGGCAAGTTAACTACCAAAGCAGTAATCAAGACTATATTTCTACATAAATAAGAACTCCCACTGACATAAATATGAGTTTAGCATGGCCCAGACATACATAAATGTAATTCCTACAAATAGGCACATTTTGAGCTGTCAACAGTGATTTGAGTATTATGCTAAGTAGTATGAAGAGACAGCCATAAACATTCAATATTAATTCAACTTGCAAGGAGATGAAGGTCAGGGGACAAAAAGCAAAGCAAAACTAAAGCCAATACTTGTCAGATGGAAAAGGACAAAACCAGTTGGAAAATAATTTTATTTTTCAGACTTCTAAGAAAATTTACAAACAATGGTGGTGTAAAAAAAAAAACAAGACACCCTATAAAAAATGTTGACATTATGTCTTAAACTATAGCATCAAATGAAGTTACAGAGCAAAAAGCGTACAATGAAATTCATCAAATTAGTATTAGTTAAGTAGTTGAAAATGTAATAAGTCCAATAATAAATCTCTACAGCTTACTCAGAAATCCCATAACAATCCAACATTCTGAGCTTAAATTATACTTACAATACACAATGAATTCATCTCTGTAATCATCTACAGCACTGAAATCTACTAGGCAAAATTACATAGCGAAGGCACACCTTGTGAAGTTTGTAAAGGAGCATCTTGAGCACACTACAATTATGTACAATGGAAAGCAAAACACCCTGCATGCTTGCTTATTAACCTCCAATGTCTAATATGAAATACAATATAGAAATCATAGGAGCAATATTTAATGACTCTTTTCATGCTGGTTCTATTCGTCATGCAGAGTGAAACACAAAGGCTTCCTTGCCCTGTTTTCTGTTTGAGCCTTGGCGCTTTCCCAGGGTATGTTGTCCCTATGTTCCTCATCGTCCTTGTCATTAGTGGAGCAGGTGGTTGTTAACAAGTCAATCCCAATCCTGAACACCACCATGCTCTCCACATATGCATGTCTTCAGCCTGCAACCTGTCTCCAACTCTTCACATGCTGAACTCCAACGTGCACACACAGCATGCCCAAACCTAACCTCCATTTGCCAAAGTTTACATACAGAGCAGAAAACAAACAAATGTATCCTTAATTATCCTTAACTACTGCTGTAGACTTTCCTCTATTCAGGTCACTTACTCACTTTACATAGCAGGCATTTAAAAACCATTAACACAATTTAATTAACAGCTTAACTTGAAATTGCAAAGGAACTCCAAACACTGGCACACTAAAGATTTTGAACAAGAATTTGAATGAATGTGAAAACCTGGTATCTTCATTAATCCATAAATCAACTTCTCCTGGCCCTAACTGCATCTTAAACATATCTTATTCAGAGCACAAGGAATAAGAATTATTTTTTAGTTACAGCATATGGATTTGTGCTTTCACTGTATTCATCATGAGAAAGGCCAAAGACAGTGTCCATTACATGCTGCTAAAATAACTTCTCCTGACAGTTCAGGAGAATGTATCAAAAGGTTATTTTTTCTTTCAAAAGTAAAAACAAACCCATGAACCAATCCATTTAATGAGACTTCTTTCCTGACTGCTTATAAATAGATATTTAAAACAAAAAATAGCAGATGTGCACATCTCATGCTAAAACAAAAGTTAGTAAGAGGATTGCAGCAGTGTTTATCACTAAATTTGTTTAAATATTGACAATACCTGAAATTCTTGCCAACTTATATTATTAGGGCAGCTAGAAACACTGTGAAACCTGACAGCAGTTTGCAATAAAAGACGTGGGTACCTATCTTGTTGGGGTCAACAGGCAGTGAAAGAAGTAGTCACATAATTTAGCTTTTAATGGTTTTGAAGATATACAATGGAATATTCCCTTTCAGTTTCCCTCTTCCACAGATATCCAGGGTAAGATTTGATAAATTCATGTCTAAACCAACAATTTGGATCACCCACAAACATTTAGAGCATGTGAGCTAATTGTGCTTTATCTAATTCTTTCCTCGCTGCCCATAACAGACACCTTTGAGCTTTCTGATCCCAACTCAGAGCCCTTCTAGAAATCAGGGCAGTCAATGATGCAAATGCACGAAACATCTCATGAGAAGAAAATAATCCCTCAAATTTATAACCTTTTAATTTTTCTTTCATCACCTACAATACATTCAAGCCCTTTTCACAGCAGTGATTTATGTAATCTCACATGCTTAATTAAATGCACACACTTCAACGGCAGCATTTAATTCCTCAAGCAGAAGTCTCTTTTCCTGAATCCTTGCTTTGCACATTCTCTAATTTGAGCACTCTTACTAACCCTCACAGCCTTTCAACAGCTCACTAATACAAGCAGCTTTACCCAATTCTAGTTTAGCAAGCACATTCACAAAAAAAAGTCTTCTCCAGAATGGATAAAAACAGATATATTTTCTTCATGCAATGTATAATTGATGCATAATGCTTACTGCCATAAAAAGACAAGAATGTAGCAGGGTTCAAAAAGAATTTTTAACAATATCAAAGTCACAGATACTGGCAAATGTGGTTATAAAGCCGTATGAATCTCCATAGCTTAGGTTTAAGTCTTCATGTGACTGGTGATAAAAATAATTTTTCCTGCAAATAATCTGTCCTGGTCATAGACTGCTACTGAGCTTTTGTGTCCCTCCTCTAAAATATCTGTCATTGGCCAATCACAATACTAGATTAGTTGATCTGCTATGGATTACCATGCTGACTTGACCATCTTGTATTTCTCCAGTGAGAAACTTGGCTAATCTGGCTTCTCGTGCAATGCTCAAATAAAGAAGAGAAAAACCTCAATGAAAAAAAAATATGCACTCTGGTCACCTTAAGAGCAGCACATACTACTTGACCTCCTTTCTTTCTTCTTTGTAAATACCAGGAGCAAGACAGATCAATGTCCTTCATATTTGCTTGCTATTATATGACAAATTCAGTGGCTGCAAAACTTCTCTCTCTTTCACTCACATATACCCACAGCCAAAATTGGTCAATTTAAAAATAACAATTGGTGGCCTATACTGTTCAGTGTTTCCTTGACCAGGCCCAGATTTTGAGGAAACCATGTGCTAAGTGTCTCTATTTGACAATGAACAACACAAAGAAGTTATTACCTGTTCAAATTATAAAGGAAACAATATTACTTATGACCTACAACTTAAGTAATTTTAAATTAATCATGCTATATTAACTAAGGTTTGTTAGCATCTGCTCAGTCTTAGGTATTTACCTTTAGTCCACCACAGATTGGACAAGCTGAAAAAAGAGCTCTTGTCATCCCAAGGTGGGGGCTACATGTGTCACAGGGGTCAGCTGAGGCCCCACCAGGTGGTGACAACTCACTACTTTTGGAGTCTGACACCTGTCCTTGTGGTTTTGTGTCTGACCACCTTGAAACAAAATCCACATATGTCTCATCACTTGAGTCCTTGCTGCTTTCTGCAAGTAAGGATGAAGGCCTCCCTCTGTCCTGGCTGTGCTCAGGTGCCCTCCGTGCTTCCAAATGTGGTAGTCTCAGTTTTGGGTCACTAACACCTTGAGGTGGCAGGGCCTGGTCCTTGGGTAGCGTAGAGTCTGGACTCTTCTGTTGCACATCTTTAGAAGCTGCCTGTAACACGCTCCTGGGTATATCGTAAATATGTCTGAGAGAGCTGGGAACCTGATACTCTGATCCCACACCTCTCTGGGACTCGCTGTGAGGACAAGTACATAAACTCTGATCTGACGGAAAGTTCAATGGCAAGCTTAGCAATGATCCAAACTCATCACCGTGGCAAATGTCCAAGCTCCCAGCATAGGAAGAGAAGCTTCCAGAGTAAGAAGAGTGACTACCAGTAGCTATTCCACTGTCAGAAGAACTCTGACGACCTATTTCCTGCAGCTGTCTGGATCGGAGGGGCTTGGGAGGTGGTTTGGTGGTGCCACGTGCCCCTTCTGGAAGGGTCTTTTCTTCCCCAAGATGAATGCCCTTGGCAGCTGCCAGTCCATGACTCTCCTGGGAGGTGCTGGCTGAAGACTGCTCAGGCCAAACTGTCAACCTGCTCCCACTGACGTCCGAGTGGCTGGTGTCTGAAGACGAGCTTGAAAGACTCCTGTCATCTCCTACAAAAGAAGAAAACACATCAATCTACATTTAAAACACAATCAAGAGACTGAAGCACGGCAAGTATGTACAAACAGGAAGGACCCTGGGATTCCATCTGCTTTTTGTAAGCGGAACTGCTGTCAGAAAAGCCAGAATTCCTGCAATAATTTGTATCCCCACTGGAAAAATAAAATGCAATAGTATGTTACCTTGCCATAACCCTACCACATTGTGGGACATAATGCATTCGAAGCTAGATTTTTAAGGTTTATGAACCAAGTTCTCCCCTTTTCAAACATATTTTACTTCCGTAGTTAGTCAGGTTACTGTACCAAAATACAAACATACCTAACTGTACAAATAAAAGTGGGAATACTACTGTTATAAAAATGTTCACACATCTATATACAAAAAGATCTTCCGTGATTCATTTATGCATATATTGCAAGAATTTTTTTTCCTTACTGATACTTGCAAAAAGGGCGCTTTTACAGGTAATCAAATGTCTTGACCACTTCTCTATATTTCTTGTAAGTTACACATATTATAATTATGCTCACTTTTAAAGCCTAAGAAGGAAGGAAGATATTTATTTTTATTTAATTAAAGATATTTCTTACCTCCACTGCCTTGGCGACTTGTATGGGACAGCAAGCTCAAGCGCTTTTCTAATTGCAAAGCTTCATGAGCCAATCTTTCTTCTGAATAGGCTGGATTTGTACTTGGATCTTTAAAAAGGAAACAGAAAATAAATAAACAAACAAATAAAGGAGGAAACATGGAAAATATATTTTAAAAAAGGAAAGAAAAAAATACATTCTTATGTCAGATATTCTTATGTTTGAAATGCTGATTGGAAAAATGTATGGGGCAATCTGCCTTCAGCACATCCTGGAGATGTGCTACCACTAAATTAAAATTATAAGTGTCAAAGATTTTCAGAGATTATACCCAATGTCTGTAATAGTTACCACCAGGGACAGAACACTGAAGAACACAGCACCAAAGGCAATAGCTACAGAAATAATTAGCATCCACCAGGTCTAGAGGACTTGAAAGCTAAACTGACCTGTAAAATGTGTCCTAAATTCACTGAACTCACTGGGAATTTTAACATTGAGAAAGACCAAATTTTTCATTCTACAAATTTACAGATCTACATCATAAAGTCAGTCATAGCGATTAATCTGACACCTTCCAATCCACATCATCTATTTATAAAGACTTCACTTTTAAGTTTGATGTTCAGATGGTCATTAAGATCAGAAGTCAGAGATAAAATAAGCAACCTTTTGGCTCTCTGTCTTCATATTTAATAAAAGACAAGTCAGAATAATATAAACCACTCCTAAAATGTCCTATCAGGGATTTTTCCCATACATTTTAGTGAGTTTGCCATTCTAGCTGAAATTATTTCACTGAAGTAGGTTCATTGTATTCCAGCAAAAAAAAGAAAGATCAAAAGTTACACAGAATGCGGAAGAAGTTTCATCAGTAAAACAGGCCAATTTCCTTCAAATCATTTGTTTCCAGCCAGGCACAACAATAAAACCAGATGCTGGAAGTTATCATAACCATTATCCCAAGAGAAACCTTATGGATTCTTTCAAATAGCACTGACAAGTGTGCCGTGTTCAGCAGTTCAAAGGATATGGTCTGCTAACTTGTTCAACATCAGAAGTTTCAGTAGTTCTTATTAATACATAGGGAAAGTAATTAATGACAGATAAAATAGATTAGTTTACTCACAACTGCTGTTCTTGTACATCTGATCAACTGAGTAGTGCTAGCACACCACAAAAACATTGAATCATTTAATAAGAGTCAAAAAAAAGGATGAAAAATGCTATACATTGCTGTGGTTGAGTTAGTAAGACAAAAAGCAGTTGTAAGGATGAAAGAAAAGATTCATTGTCATCCCAGGTCTTTTAATTTTAAAAGACTTGGGTTTGATGTTGTCAACACAGCAGTCAAAGTAAACTCACAATCAGGGGAAGGAGCACTGCCAGATAAGCTGAAGCTCCATGGGAGCTCCCTACATTTTTAACTACTCTGAGAAAGAAGATGCCACATCTCTTGTCCCTCACCGTGTTCACTTTCTGACCTGCCCTGGGTAGATCTGAGTGCGTCACAGGAACAGAAGTGGCAATGCTGGAACTTCTAACTTTCTTTCCCATGTAGAGGAAAGTCTGCAATCTGGATAAGATTAGCAGAAAAAGCAAGACACGCGGAGTCCATCTGTAACAACATACATTGGACACCCATGACAAACAGAGTCTGTGACCTCTGTGTCTCCCAGCTTGACACCTTCCAAACATAAGAATAGAAAATAGGACTGTTTGATGGGGATTATTTTGTTAGGTCTCTATTCCTATTTACACTGCAAGACAACTCGTATTGAGCATTGACTAGTTCAAACCTGTGTAACTGATTATTCACACAAAACCCCCAGTGCTTCCATATGGATCTCTGCCAAAGGAAAACACAATATTTGGCCATCAGCACCTATGGTGCAACCCAGACAGGTCTATGCAAGGATCTGTTCAGTAGCATACAGTATTACAAACAGCTGCTTGAGACTATTTTTTAATGTCCTCTGGTTACCCTGCTGTATCTATTAAATACCTTTATGTCCAAAAAAGGTTCAACACAGATGTTCTAAGAGCACTTTGAGTATGAAGTTGGCATAACAGATCAGCAAACTAGTCAAACCAAGATGCAACAGACACTAACCCTTCCCACAGCAAAGAACTGTCAGTAGGAAAGGTCCTTTCACTTTCCTCAGAGAATGACTGCTTGACAAGTACAGATTTCCCGAACATTACTAGGGCACATACACAACAATTAGTTTTTTAGTAACTGGTATCCCTCTTACAGACAGCAAAAGATACAATTTTAAGATATAATTTTTAAAAATTGGCCAATATAAGATGAGGAGGTAGGAGGGAAGTTGAAGTCAGTAAGTTTGCACTTCACATGTTCAATTACTTCCACAAGCTCAACTCCCTGTGAGCTACATAGCCACAGAACACAAAAGTTTTCACCCAACAACATGAAACCCAAAGACATACTGTATGTCCAACAGGACTGATAATTTTTTGGTTAAACTTGCCCCTAAGGATTGCCTACGTATAAAAGGTGCGTATAAAATTTGGTTCATACTTATGTACTGCAATCTCTCATTGCCCAGTTTTGTGGAAGATTGAGTAGAAGACCCTTTCTCAGCAAGTACTAGGAAATAACTGGAGAAATAGCTCCAAAACCTGCCAAACATATAGACTCTAAGTCTTGGGTATATATTAAAAATAATTGTCTATCTGTCTTATCTAAGTCTTTGTTTTGCCTTTAATCTTCTCTGCTAATAAGCCAGACTTCTATGGAAAACACAGATACTACTATTTCCCAGAAGCAGCAGATTCTTATACCAGTATTTTTGGTTACAGACTTCCAAGCTCTAATCAGGAACTCTTGCTACGAGATCAGACTATGGACTGAAGTCAGTGGTAGCCACTTTTTAGGGACCAGTCCTTACTGGAGTGTATAACCTATGACCTCCTGTCATAGGAGTGTAGAATTATGGCTTAAAACTTATAAAAAGAAAGGTTTTTTCAACAGCAAATCTGGATTTGTTGGCATCATCCTATACCTTGTGCATGCACAATACACAACCTCTAAATAAATGAATGGCAATTAACCATATTAGGAACTCGGGAGGACAGAAGCAGCATGACCAGTACTGGGACAGCTGTCCAAGGAAGTTCACTCAACCTCTGCCCACACAACATCCGACAGTAGCTCCAACAACTCTAAGAGCAATTAGTACCTTCGTTTCCCAAGTTCCTAACAAATGTATCCTGTCACCTGATTTACTCCCGTAAAATTTAGGTGCTGAGATTCACTCAGGTCCTCCAGTTAATAAAATTTTTTATCATTTTCCAAATAAAAATGGATCCCTTGCTACGAGGAAAAATTCATTGAAATCTTCTTAAATGATCTTTTAGGGCAAAGGGGAAGGATTACATCAAATTTAGCTGGACTAAAAATGCCTCTGATGGAGATTTTATTTTTATATTACGTTGGTGGGTATTCATTAAAGCCACATCAGCTGCTCATCGTGGGAGATTCTAAGTAGTTTGGTAACATACGAATGAAGTGTCACAGTAATTCAAAGCTCCAGGGTTGTTCAACAAGCACCTGTCAGGAAAAAATGTATTGTATCCAGTCAAGTCAGCAGCTACATAATTGATTATATGCATCTTTAAAATGCAACATTAATTACTTCATTAAACAAAATTAGCTAAATTAGGCTAAAAATCTCTCCTCTCTTTCTTCCTGTGTAACTATAGGTACATTTGTAAACCAGGCCTGGACCCTCACCTTCTTGCTAACATCTCCACACCTTGTAAGATGTCTAGAGGAATGAAAAGATGTCCTAAGAGTTTGAGGAGGATCCACTTGGTACAGATACTGCAGAAGGCAGCCACAGAGCTGTCTTGCAATGGCCAAAGGTATATCAAGCTTCAACAAAAAGAAAGAGCATCAGATAGAACCTCAGCAAGCAGCACTGTACACTTCCAGTCAGTCCCAAAGCAGTCTGAAAAAACTTCCAAAATTAAAAGACAGCATCAAGACTATCCACATTACACCTGGGGTCCTTCCAGATTGCAGGACTAGACTGTCACATAGTCAGATTTAGAGAGCACTGGTCTGCCCACTGATATCTTTGGGCCTTTGCTGTGTTCAGGTTTGGCACTCAACATGAATCTTGCTAGGGAAAAGAAGGAATTCAACACATCCTAGATAAACAAACATTTCTCAAATAACATGCATGCAAATTCAGCATAGATTACAAACCATGCAGTCAGTGACTCATTACTATGTCAATATCTAGACTTCCATCAAGATAGAATGTAAAATTCTCCGGTCTGTTTTCTAAATATCCTTTCAAGCTAAAAAAAAAAAAAAAAATAAAAAAAAAGAGACCATGCTAGTAGCCACGTATAGCAGTTATCTTCCACCTAGTAGCTGAGGAAAACAAGCCATACAAAGATATCACATCACTCATTTGAGTCCTTTATTTAAAATGTTACACTGCCTAAAAACATTTACAGATACTTATACCGACACTACCTACACTACCTTCACATTCCCACTCAATGCCATATGTCTTCAGGTTTTTTTAATGAGACCTCATCATGCAGCTTTTAATAAACCAAAATCTCCAATCTGCTAATGGAGCTATCAATAGGACTATTCTGGAACAATTCTGAAGAATTAATGGACTCCCAAAGTAAGTACGACCAGTAATAAAGTGTAAAACATCTAATCTTCTTTTCCTTTTCCATTCTATTTTGGATGCACACTGAGTTATTTTTTACCATGAGAATAGTAATTTGATACCCATTTCCAAAACATCACAGCATAATTCAGTTTGGAGGGGATCTCAGTAGTTCTCTAGTATAACCTGCTGCTCAAAGCAGGGTCTGCAATGAGACATTAGACCAGATAGTGACACTTTGCAAGGTTCAGTCTTGTTTATGAGTTCCACTGCACTTGATTTTCACCACATATTTTATAGATGACATAATAAAATACATACAGTAATCATATATCTGTGTGATAAGAACACCATGCTTCTAAGAAAACAAGGTATATTTTTTAAAACTAAAATCCCAAAAAGAAGACGAGAATATTGCCCTTGAGCAAGTATCCCTTGCACAGGTAGTTTACAAACTCCATTTGGACACTGGTATTTTACATTTGTTTAAAGAATCACTATGGCAAGTAAGAAAACTGATCATTTTCCATCTTCTTCAAATCAGTCTCTACCACTTCCTATTAATTTTATGCTAACATAAATATTTCAGCACTCTTTTTAACCATATGGTTGAGCTGCTTGTATACGAAGCAACTGGCTTCAGTCATTACTCTTTTTTACAAAGACAGACTACTCAGATGTTGACTGCTTTAACATCTATAGATTATACTTGTCTTGTGGGCATTGGTGTCCAACACTGTCAGTGCGACTTTTTTACTATATTACGTCCTTCTCTGTGCATCTGCCCTTTGTGTGTTTTCTTTGCCTGAAAATACCAGAGTGCTTCAAGTATACTTCATGTTTAAGCTGGAAAGGTACAGACAGCAGCAAGAAGCCAAATTCAAACAGCAAATGTGAAGAGGAGGTTGCTTTCTCTAAAAGCTTTTAAATTACACAAAAGCAGAACACTGCATACATAGAGTACAGCTGAGGGTGTGTAGCATTCTGCACTGAAGTAAATATGAATAACATTGACTAGGTCTGTCCTAGTAGAATCCCTAATCTGGAAGTCTTGATCTAATTACATGACGTGTACAGATAATTAATCCACTTACCAGCTAATCCTTTCAAAAGGCTGGGTGAATTTCAATACTTGAGAGAGGCAGTATGCAGCTGGTAGACTTGACCTTTTCAAGCAATACCGTATATTCTGTGTAACAACATACTTGATAGGAAAACTAGTTTATGGATGAATCACTAGTATTGTACATGTGCATGTGCCTTAGATCTGTGCAAGCCTCTGCATGGCAAAATAAATGAAGGAGAACATAAAAAATAACTTTTTTTATGAATGTGTACATAGGGAGTGACAACAAACTAGAAGAGACAAGGGTAAAGTAAACAGGAACGAAAGCTAAAGGGGTCAAGGTAGCTTGGAAAAAGGCAGAGGAGTCTGCAAGAAGAGGAGCACAGTTCCCTACAAAACACTTCCCTCTGGGGAGACAAGAGGAAATCAAGTGGCCAGGTATCTCTTCACCTCATTTCAGTGGCAAGTCCATCAAGCACAGAAGAGAAATTAAAAGACCCCAGAAAAGAGGTCTTTTCTTATAAAAAACCAAATCATCCCCAGGATGATCCACATCCACTTTATGCACTTAGGTGAGGTCAGAACTCTTGAAGGAGGGAAGGGAATGTGGTATGTGACTGTGCACAACAACCCACAAACACCAGAATTGATAACTAAAGATGTGAAAGCAGATTCATTCCTACATGCTTCTAAAAAATGATTCATCAAAGACTGAGCCATCTAAAATTTAAATTTAAAAAAAAAAAATTTTAAAAAGGACAACAGAATAGTTGCTTGTAGGCTTAATTTTTCTGGACAAAATCTTTTGTTAAATGAAAGATTTAGGAGTTGTATATATGTTATAGAGTTTTAGACATGTACAAAAATGTATTCAATAACAAAGCTTTAAGTATCAACACTGACTTTTGTGTTTCTGTTGGTTTTGCTGTTTCCTTTTTTCTGAACACTACACTTAATTGAATGCAAACACATACCATCATACAAGAAGAATGATTTTTCTGTCCACTGCTCTCCTTGATTATTTAATTTACTTCAGTCTTAAAACAATGAGAAAGAAGACATGAACTGAGCCTCGTGTTTACTGCATTTATGTTAACTAACTTTTCATAATTTATTTTCACAACCTTCAGATCCAGATCTAATCTTCTCCATCACATTTCCTTCCCGCAATTATCTTAATCTTACAACAGCAATAAAACCCTGTCAAACACTTAACTGCCTAACACAAAAACAAAAACTCTAAGTATTTTCCAAAAATCCCACCATTCTTGCAGCCTATTCCCACTGTATTCCACTGCCAAGTCACAGATACTTTTCTGCAATTGCATTTCTACACTTTTGTCCTGTTTGACACAGTAATTCTGACTCAATATTGTATTCCATCTGCTGAAATCAAAAGGCAATAGGGCTTCCTATGATGCCATTCAATTTCCTCTCTGAACATTACAGTGCATGCAGCATCTACCGTGAAATGGGAAAGGGAATTTAACCAGAAAAAAGCTCAAGCTGCAAAACTGAAATGTGATGTGGAGGCCTGACAAAGTTTACCAGGGTTGACAAGACTTAGTGTTTCAGATGAACTCAAAATGCTCCAGAAGTTAGTTTTCCATTAAACTATCAAAATAGCAATGCAGACATGGATCCAGGTTAAATGTGTAAGTTTAAAACTAAAGATTAGTGTTCCTTTCAATTCAAATTGCCATCTTTCAGTACTGTTAAACAGGAGAGGGCTAAAGTTAGCAATATCACCAGAAATATGAATGAGCCGGACCAGCAGGGGGAAACTGGGTACATTCAGCTTATAAATCTGTGCTGTGACATTTCAGAATGAAAACCACTTTGCACTCTCCACACCCTCAGCGCCTGCAAGATGTTCTTACAGTCACAGCAGCAAGTGCGAGACACGGCAAGTTCCTACTCCGCTCGGTTACTTTATACTTCCTATATTAACCTGGTAGGACTGGACGCAAACCAAAGGGGCCTTTTGTCGGGGAGATGCCACGGACGATGCAGTCGAACAGAAAGCTGATCTGCTCTCCTTCAGCGCAAGAGAGGAAAAAGACACCAGCCCCTGCAAGGAAGCACGACATAAATATGCGGTTTTCACTTGGATACATTAGAAATATATTTAGCTGGAACTATTTATAAAGTAGCAATCAAAAGAGTGTTAAGTGTAAGCCATGAAAACAAGTCAACAGGACATTCTCCAGGGAAAAGGAATAAAAAATTCAGGTCAGCACACACACTATAACACAAACACATAAAAATTCAAGAGCTACCTAATAATTTATGTTAATTTTCTGACATTCAGGCACTTAGAGTGATGTCACACAATCATAAAATGGCTTGGGTTGGAAAGTACCTTAAAGATCACTTAGTTCCAATCCCCTCTCAATGTCAAAATAGAAGACTTATTCTTATCAGCTGTCTGGGTCTCTTATTTACCCCTAAAATTTTGTAGGCCTAATCTTATGGCAAATGTCAAAGATACTAAAGTGTCTCCAGCAAAATGAATTAAGTTAATTCTACTTTTAACCAGTTTTAACCAAGAGGAGTTTTTTATATACCAATGAATTATGATTTGGTTATATTGCTGGATTATAGTATAAATTTTCCTAGACTAAATCCTATGTGTCTATTATTAACAGAACGTAATACAACTCCACAGGTTGTCATCAGATCTTTACCCTTTGCTCTATTCTGATATTTGCTTTCCATTCATTAAGAATAGCCCCAAGCAAGATTAGAATGAGAATCACTAAACAAACAAACAAGTTATGAGCTCCATGATATATGACTATGTGAACAACACAAAAGACTAGAAGGGCTCCACAGGATATTTTATTTGAGAATTATCAGTCCAAATATAAAGCACATCAGGAAAAAAATATTATCTTAAAATATCAGACAAAATTTCAGGGACATAATAATTCAATACCAGATACCAGAAAGAAATGAAATTAGCATACAGACCTTGAAGAAGCACTGCCACTTCCCCAGGCCCATGCATATAGAAAACTACAATACCAGATCTTAGACCTGCAGTAGGGTTTTGCACATTACTTTCCTAGGGACTTGAGTCCCTAATCTGGACATATGTGTTTGACTTCTGCCTGTCTCTAGCCAATTCTGAGTTGCATTAATATTTTTTCCAATTTTACTGAAAGCAGAAGAGCTGGTTGGTCTTGACCAGAATTACTTTATCCCCATCACTTTCCACACATGCCCTGTCATATCCAACAGGATACTCACATTTCACTTAAACAACGGACACACTTTTAACAGCTTGACGAAGGGCTATGGGATCCAAACAAAAGGAATAATAGAGAGTGGACCACAAACCACATTAACTATTTTAGTAAATTAGATATAACCAGCAAGCAGTAAACTGGAAAAACATATTCTGGTCCACACTCTTCTGACATTCTCAATTTATGTCACATCTAAGTCTCTGCCTGTTCTGCTTAAATCTATTCAAGATAACATTGTTAGCAACATCTTCATAACTTGATTTGTCACTCCACCACATTTGCATCTCTTCACATCTTGCTTATCAAAAATTCTTCAGCCAAAGAAACAAATACACACCCTGGCTTCAGGATCAGAGACCATCTAGGAGATTGATTACAACACTAATCACACAGTTTGACAAGTATGAAGGTTTCTGGTGGTGACTCATTTGCAGTCTTGCCCCATTTCCCCTCCCCAAGAGATGCCAAAGTCAGAGAACACTGTATTAGGGGGAAAAAAAAAAAACTGGCTGCAATGTATTCAGGAATGATTTGAAATTCAGCCTTTTCTTTGAGCTCACTTCTCCCTGCACAGAGTAGAGGGAGTCTGTGGAAATCAGTTTGCCCAATCCTGGATGGTATGACTCTTCCCCCATGAATCAGATCAATGCCAGAAGCCACATCTTTCTTGAGGGAGCAGGGCAGCACAAGGCTTTGCTGGATGACCTTCGCATTCCATGCACAATAAGCAAGCAGGATACAGAGAGAACATAGCAGAGGACATTCCTATCTCAAGCACAGTGATACACTATGTGGCTTGATAATTCAGCAGAATCCTACACATGCATGTTGCCATTCAAGAAGAAAATGATACCTCAAGTACTTCTGTACATAAAGAGTATACCTGGGCCAGTTTGTTCTTTTATGACTATTATCAAGAGTTACCTAAACTCCTAATGGGCTCTACAAGCCTTTGACTTTAATAGAAACTAAAAAAAATAAATGTGCTCATGCAAGCTGGCTGCTTAATTCAAATACTTATTTCAGCAAAGAAGTATCACTCATTTGGAAATCCCAAAACCAAATGTGATTGCCTTCATATAACAGTGTATGTCCATGCACGTGTGGATGCGAATCCAATATACACATAAAATATTTCTTTGTAGATTCTGTTATTCACATGAACACCTTAATTGTTGATTGACTCTCACAGGAAACATTCTCTTTCCTGTTTTGCTAGACAGAACTAGATTGCAAGTGAAGGAAGAAGTCCGAGGGTCCTCACTAAAAACATCAAGTGAGATGAACGAGTAGGTAAGGTTTAACTAAGTAATGTTTCAAAAGCATACATAAAAACAAGTAATTACATTTCTTTTCTGCTCTCTGCAGAAAACTGACAAATTCACTACCAGAAACTACACATCCCAGTCACGTGCTGGATCAGATTTGGTGCACAGGCATTTGGAAGCTGAGGAATATGTGGTATGCATCCCTGTAATACCACGCAGCTGTTTACCAGACTGAAGGGCTCACTCACACTCTCCATGGGGTAAGAGACTTGGTGAAAAGCAGCCTGCAATCACTTGCACAAGGCTGAAACACTAAGCCAGTCCTCTGTGTCAGTCAGTAAAGCATTGTACAGTCCCTCAAACATTCAAGAGAAGTTGCCAATCTCATAAAACTTCCAAATACTACTAAATCCTGCTAATGTTTGATTTTAATTTATCATACTAAAACAGCAAACCCATTTGCAAACACGCCCTCACAATGGACAAAAATTACCTCAACCTCTGTACTGTGTGTGAAAGCAGGGAGGAAGAGTCAGTCCCTTCCATTAATTACTACTCCTAACAGCTGCCAGACAATGTCAGAACCTGAAGTCTTTTAGCTACAGGACAGGTACGAACCACGGCAGTTCATTTCGTGGCCATCAGCATATTGTCCAACCAGTACATCTCAAACCTGGGCTTGAGAACCCCCTTTAGGGAGTATTTCCGGCTGTTTTTCTCTCTGGGGAAAATGACAAAGGGTGTTCCTAGTATTGCCAACTAAGATATGGGCATGACTACTGAAAATAGGATAAAATTGGTTGTTGTCTGCAGTACGTCTAAGAAGGAGACAGCACAGAGCAATATCTGCATATTAGCAGAAGTTTTAATCTACACAACTCAGAATTTTTCAAGAAATTCCAGATCTTGCCCCAGTTTAACCACTCCTACTACTTTTAATTTTCAAATAAATGCAGAAGTGGAAAGATGGAAGGAAAGATGGAAGGAAAGACAGAAGGAAGTACCTAATTTTATCAAAATACCAAAACAATCACAGAAATACTCCTGCTTATCTTGCAGTTAGCAGCATCAGCATTTGTTTTTCCAAAGGACACTAAGGGTCCTACAGGTTCCTTTCTTCCAGGAGACACTGTCAGAAAACATGACACAGCTTTAAACCAGGCTCTGGAAGCTAATCCTGAAGCACTTGAACATTAAATTCTCACAGTATTAACATGCCCTTTTATTACCCTACTTGAATTTTTTCACATTGACCTCCAAGTCAAGATTCTCCTGGCAACTGGTCATTTTTATCAGTGCGCACTAATTAAGCAAGCAGCTTAGGAAAGTGAGAGGCTCCTTTTTTCCAGCCTGTTCCTCTATGTAAACCTCTCAATTGACTCCCAGGCCAAGATGCCTGCTTTTTTGCAAATGGTATGTGTGATTAAGCTTCAGCTACAGAGAGAGCAAAATTTTGCCCCAGAGAATAACTTATCCGCAGCTTTTGGAAGCAGAAAAAGTATTTTCTAATCTCTACCAGTACAGTTGTGATGCTAAAAGTAAGAGAAGTTCAAAATGTAAATGCTCTTTTTCCTATTTATGAATAAGCCTGTGTTAACCATCTTGAAAATGCACCCCGATTTAATGTTTGGAATCTCAGCATTATCTCAGATGGTTTCTCTCCACCTGGATCGAGCACCAAAGCCTTTGGAGTTGAACAAAACCTGTACTGAGCAACTAATTCCAGAACACAATTAATTATTTTATATTTATGAAAAATTTTGTAAGGAAGCAAGAATCAGAAAACTAAAACCAATTCATGCCCTTTCAGACCTCACTTTTACACAGATATATCCAAAAGTAAGCTCTGCTTCTGTTTGGGGCTTCATGGGTTTTAATATGGAGAGGAGAGGGAATCGAACCACAAGATCACTGGTTCCTTTTATTTAGGTATTTACTACAGTGGTATTTAAACCTTAAATTCACTAATCCTCTGGATTCAGAGCTCCACAGGAAGAATGTGAGCAAAGATATGGTTTAACCTGTAGGAAAGTAACATTAATAATAGAGTCTGCATAATATTATGCGACATTTCGATGACAGGGTAATGGAGAGTACTTTTGTTTAGGAAATAAAACAACTTCCGTAATAACATATTTTTTCCTGAACATTACTTGCTTGCCTATTCTTCAAGAATTCCAGAAGATTGAGGTAAGAGAGTCAAACACCTGAAGAAAGATGGTCTTTCTCTTTGCCAACATCCTTCTGTCAAAAATAACCAGAGTTACATTTTTATTTACAATACAATATTCTATTTACAAAAAGCATTTTCTTATAGTGGCAATATTAACTCAATTGTTTAGAGTAAACACATATTTAAATGTTGTTATGCTTGCAGATATGTTTAGGTGCTCAGTTAAGGGCAACAGCTCCTTTAACAAGATAAGCTTGAACTTGTAAAGAGTTTCCAACTGTGACAGGCTATTTTGCACCTGCAGGAGAAAGGCAAAAACACCCTTTCATGGCAACTGAAAGGTCTGAGCTATCAAGACAGATGTTTCTTATGAATGATCAACAAATTGGGACCCTTTCCAAAGCACTCATCTAATTCGCATCACCTGCCAACTAAAAGCAAAAAAAGAGAATTCATACTTAAAAAAAGCAGGGACGCAGGAGAGCTATTGATGACCTCATGTTTCTTATCAGAAAGTTTAAGTTAAGTTTAAGGGAGGGAAAAAGAAACCAGCTAGGTAATCCAGGTTCCACCACCTGACCACTAGTTTCACATTTCACAGAATTACAGAACCAATTAGGTTGGAAAAGACATCTGAGATCATCAAGTCCAATCTTTGACTGGACATGTCAACTAGACCATGGCACTAAGTGCCACATCCAGTCTTAAACACCTCCAGAGATGCTTACCTCACCACCTCCCTGGGCAGTCTGTTCCAATGCTTGACAACCCTTTCTGTGAGGAAATTCCTCCTAATGTCCAACCCAAATCTCCCCTAGTGCAGCTTAAGACTGCGTCCTCTTGTCCTGTTGCTAGTTGCCTGGGAGAAGAGGCCAACCCCCACCTGACTACAACCTCCTTTCAGGTAGTTGTAGAGAGTGATGAGGTCATCTCTGAGCCTCCTTTTCTCCAGGCTAAACAAACCCAGCTCTCTCAGCCATTCCTTATGGGACTTACTCTCTAGACCCTTCCCTAGCTCCACTGTCCTTCTGTGGACCTGCTCCAGCACTTCAATGTCCTTCTTGTAGTGAGGGCCCCAGAACTGGACATGGCACTCAAAGTGTGGCCTCACCAGTGCCGAGTACAGGGGCACAATCACTGTCCTAGTCCTGCTGGCCACACTATTCCTGATACAAGCCAGGATACCATTGGCCTTCTTGGACACCTGGGCACACACACTGGCTCATGTTCAGCCACATCAGCTGTTGACAATGTATCGTTCATCCACATTTCATACTTCATGTTCCTTATGCACCTGGTCTAGTGAAAGGTGCCCCTGCCTGTAACAGTGGGGTTGGAACTGGATGACCTTTAAGGTCCCTCCCAACCCATACCATTCTGTGATTCTACGATCTGGCATCCTGGCCCATGGATTGAACTATTTAGGCTTTCTGCAATGTGGGGGTAAGTTACAGCAATACTCAGTAAGCACAAACCAGTTTAAATTCTTGGAGCATAGCAATTGTATCAGATTTAGAACAAGCTACAGAAAAAATGCCACAATTTAACTAAAGAACATAAATGAAGGACTACATATACATATATATATATATGTATATGTACACACACACATATATATATACACACACCCTACTATTTCTGGGCTTTCTTATACAAGTAATAGCTAATCTTGGGAACTAAGCATTTAAGCTTAGAAGCAGGGATCTAGGGTCTCTCCCTTGCAGTTGTGCTCCCAGTCTCAAGGCTTCAGACACATAGTCAGTTTTTCTCTTCTGATCTCAGTGACATTTCAATGCCTGGTTACACAGTGAGACAACTTCAAAGCCTTGTACTGGGCTGTTTTTTATGGGGGCACCAACCATTCCTCAGGAAGATAAAGATTTGAAGCCCTGCATATTGAAGGGGGCCAGGAACTTGGGTTTCCCACTCCATAGATGTATGGTAACCAGAATTAACATGCAGAGCAACAGCACACAAGTCCCAAGGAACAGGCAGAACAACTGTAAAAAAGTCCCAGGGAAGAACAATTTGCATTTGGATCACCTCTGAAACCTTCTAATTTTTCAGTTTGTTAATTGAAGAAAACCATTATTTTCACATTTCAGTATGCAAGTCAAACAACTTCACATTCAAACTGGCAGTCTGCATACCCACTGAACACCAGGGGTTTAGCCTGCAGAAGTCTACTCAGAACAGATCCTCTGATATGAGGCTGCCTGTATGACAAAGCAGTACAGCTGGTTCTACAGCCTCCACTTTGAATGAGACTACATTTTCATTTCTACAAGAGGTATCAAACAACTTTTAGAAGACAGGTTTCTATTTGTACTTACAGAAGCCGCACCTGGTACCCCCTTCAAAGATGAATCCATTTGGGACAGCTCCGTACCGGCGCAGATCTGAGAGCTTCCACTGCCCCATGACGCTGGGAGGAAGGTCTTTTGCAAGGACAAGAATGTCATTGCAGAAATGCAGGGTAGCAGGCCCGCTCTCTAGTTTGGTGCCAGGTGCTACAAAGACTTGAAATCTATGAACTATCAAATAAGGAAGAAAAAAAAATACTGTACAATATACAATTAAGGTACCATGACTTAAGTTACATAGGTCATTTCTATTCAGCTGTGGTTCTTGGACCAACCCCTGCCCACACCAGGAGACTCTAACATAAAGATTCTACATGGAACCCAGACAGCTCCATGAAAGTAACTGTAAGCTCCCTACTCTCTATTATGCCTGTTTAGAATTGGAAAAAACCCACTGTATCTTGGCTGGATGCTACAAATTATTACTTGTAATGCTACATTAATTAATACTAAATCTTCCAGGCTACTCCCTATCTCAGATTAGTCAGTTATCCAGCACACACTTCACTTACCTCTTCCATCCTTGCATCACTACACAGGTTTCTTTCTGTCTCCTCATCTAAACTGTGTTACTGCTTTCCTACATGCATGCACACAAATAACATGATGCCCAAAACCCAAGGCTCAAAGAAGTAGGCAAATTCTAACCGGATCTCTACCACTGACTCATTTGCAACCTTTAATAAACTGCTTTATTTCTTCCCTAGCAGTAGAATGGAGAAAATTACATTTTTCCACCTTTGTGATTCTTTTAGGAGTTGGTGATGGTAGATGCCCAGACATTTAAAATTACTAAGAAATTAAATGATTCATAGGTAATAAAACACTTTTAGATGTCAGTTAATTTTTCATATTTCACAGCCTAAATTTCAAAGGAGTGGAGAAAAAAAAAAGAAACACCTAGATCATTCAAGTTTACAAACTTCAGGTTCAAACTCCAACTCCAGTATCCCCTATATCGCAAGGGTCCTTACCTAAAGTAGCAGTCATTCTAGGCTGGTCTCCCATTCTGTCTTGCAGAGCCATTGCATTCTGAATAATAAGTTATTGGGATCACTGCAAGGGCTCAAATCTCAGTGTTTCAAAGGGAGCAATTTAAGTAAGCAAGCATATAATTCTCAAACAATAATTTCAACCCCCACTAGTCCTCTAGTTTCTCTCATATTGTGATTAGACAACAAAAGAAGAAAAAATAACACAGAAAAACAATTATAATTTAAAAACAACACCACCCAAAAACCTGTCTTAGCAGAGAGAGGCATCAAGACTGTTACATTTCCCAGCAGAGTTTTTTAGTAGAGTGTTTATCAAGAAGCACATAGATTTAGCTTTTGGTTATGTATTAAAGATCATACAAAAAGCTCCTTGCCTACAAAATTTACAGGGTAACTTCCAGGTAGTCTCAGTTCTTACAACTACTCTTCCCTGTTTCTTGCCCAGGCCTCTCCAAGCATCACACATTTCATCTTGGTCTGAGTCTTGCTTCTCATCTAACTACTTGCTGTATTCTTAGTTACGATCTGAGCTGTAAGTCAACTCCTCATCTATGACATGCATTTGGTAAGTTCCCTGAGGCTCCAGCAGAATTAGCCACAAAGTCATTCGAGTGAAATGTGCAAGGAGACAGAGATAGATCTAACTAACCACAGCTCTACTTACAGCTCTGCCAGTAGTGCTGCTAGGGAGCAAATCAATAGTCACACGATGTCCCCTTTTGGGCACACGGTTGTTATGCAACCTGCTTAAACATAAACTATGAAAAAGATAGCAAAACCATCGTGATGAGTAACGCTCAGTAAGGAGTCTTCAATATCATTTGGACCCCTCTGCTCAGTTAACTCTGCCCAGGACTTTGCTGACAATTAAACTGCGGGAGCAGAAGCATCAGGGTTCTTTCTGCTTCATAAATTAGGAATGGAGCCCACTCTTCACACAATCAGTTGCAAGTTACAGCAGCTGCTGAAAAGAGCTCCATCTCAAATTCTAGACCACTGTCAAAACACAGCATATCCAAATCTGAACAAAGCCAAAGTAGAAGAAAAAGCATATCTGAACATGAAGCTTTCTCCATATGCTGCTTTCTTGGCAAATTGGATTTTTTTTTCAAAATTCTCCCCAGCCATCAACTTCTCCTATTCTATGAAAGAAAAAAAAATTCTTGAAGACATAGAGCCGAATATACCCTTGAACAGCAGGTACTACTTAAATTCTTCATTTTCTTCAGCTAATCTTTTCCTCTTCACAGCTATTCACTGACCTGCAGTATGCTAAATTCTCAGAAAGAGTTGAGGGAGGGCTCAAGCACATTCCAGGAATCACATTCACCTCATCTGGCTAAAAACTGAGAGAAAACACTGGGAATTCCAGTGCAAATGCTTCCATTCTGTGGTCCTCATTCAAGAACAGTGTCAACTCCTTTCACTTTTTTTTTTTTTTTTTGCTTCCCAGACTCTGAGGTCATCTGTCCCTTGCCTATTTTTATCATCCAGCCACCTTACTTTCAAGGCATACAAAGGCACTCTTACTACACTTTAGGAAAAAACACTAGTCACCATCCTCTCTTCATATAAGTCTCCTCTCTTTTTCATTTCTGTCTACTCAAACTAGACTCACTTTAATTGGACTTCTTTCTCCTAACTGCAGCTTCACTGAAAGATAAAATCCTGGAAAAAATTCTATGCTCTGGTTTAGTCTCCTTCCCCTAAGCTTTTTTGCAGTTAACTTTCTACAGATTACTATCATTTCAACCAATTATACTTGTTGTCTTACTTCTGCATTTCTCCACTTCCACACACATTCTCCTCCCCCACTTCATCTTTACTCCATGGTTGCACATGTCATCATCCAATAGCCTCTATTCCTACCTCATTCACAGTTTTCCTTGAAAAAAACTCTTCACTGCTTTTGCATTTCCTCCAATAACAACCATAACCCTCACACCCAGATTGAGATTACCTTGTTCATCCCAGCACTGCATCAGTGCAAGATCATAAAAACCAGACCTACCCTGTCAAATTCAAATTCTCCTTGAGGTTTTAGGACAAATTTATGCTATATATATATCTGAAATCTAAAAAAAAAAAAAAGAAATAGAACTGGAAGACAACACAGTTGTATCATCAAAGTGTACCAGTGACTCCAGCTACTTGTGCTGGTACTGTTCAGAAACCCCCGTAACCTTTCCTGTTATGCAAGACTTCATATTTGATAGCTCTGAGAGGTACATCCACACATCTCACTTCTGATACTTCTACATTTTTTTACTGAAAAATTCCCAGGCCATCTTTCAACATACGTACTGCAAAGGAACGAGCCACAAACCCAACAGATGGCACAGCATATGTAACAAATGATAAAGATGGCTAATGTGTGTCTCCCACACACCTACCCTCCTTCCCTAGTTATGACTAAACAAACATAAGACAGATACTATGGATTACCAACATCATCACTCTTTGTTCACTACTGTACATTTTAGAGCTGCTATCCAAGAAAATAAAATAAAAGGATGCAGAAAAGTGAAGTTAGCTGGAGAGAATGTGTCTGATGACAATCATTATTGCAAGAAGTCTCTTTCTGAAATGGGACACTAGCAGCAATAAGCATTATCAATGCAACACCTAGCGGGCAGCTCAGAAAAATGGGCCTGAACTAGCCAAGTACAACTCAGAACTCTGCATCTCTTAATTCATGTTCCCAGAATCCCTGAGTAAACTGTAGGACCAAGTCTGATCACTTTGTTTCAAAGCTACACACTGTCAGTGCCAAAATCAAAAACCTAAGTTAAGAGGTCTCATAGTTATCCATCAGTATTGGGCAGTACTGTAGTCAAAACCTATCATAAGGGACACCTGCTTTAATATCTAAGGGGAAGACCAGTCTCTTCACTCTTAGATGAATGACAGACAGTCTTTTCCTGTACTTTTTTATCTGCATTTTAGTTTTGCTTTTCTTTGGTTTTTTACCATATGAGGGCAGGGGGAATTGTGGGGAGAAGGTGCAAGAAGACAGAGGTTACCTTCCCCCAAACTGTAGCGTATTCGTACATCCCACGCGTACATTGTTTCCTTGTTCTCAAATCCCAGCATCACAACTTGAGAGAGACAGATGATTGCGAGTGTGTGATTCAGGCCCTCATAGGAGAGCCCAGGCTCCAAGCCACAGATGTCTTCTAAGGTCATGCTGCTCCTCTCCTTGTGCCCTTTTGCTCGTTCAGATTTATCCTTGTACACCAGCATGAGCAAACAGTCTAAAAGAAGCAAAACTGTCAGAGATGATGAGGCAGAGCATAGACCGCAACACATTTCTCAGCACTCTGCTGCAATACAAAGGTGCTTTAGAAAACTGCATGAAATCAATGTAAGAACTCGGATTCCTTTTCCCACCCCACCCCCAGGTAGTTTGTAGCCCTTGTTTTCAGGAAGCAAACACTGAAGGCATGTTCCAAGAGTAATCTGCAATAAGGAAATAAGGAAGCCAGTAACAAGTCTTCCCTATTTTACTCATCAAAGTCCAGTGGCTTTTTTCAGATACTCTCCCGAGTCTGGCGGGGACTGACTCATTAATTCTGAACATTAGGAGTTATGCTATGATACTGTTCACATTACAAACTCTAAGGATCGAGAGGCTATTGTCATCTGTATTTCCATCAGAACATACTGAACCACAAACGAAATTCTTACAGTAGCTCCCAGATTACCCAACTACTAAATGACGAGCACTGCGAGATTGTTCATGCCGGCTCAGGTTTCCCAACTAAATGCTACACAGTAGCCCTTGCTAAAAATCATTATGTGCCACACCTTCTTTTATTTATTTATTTTTTAGTGTTTGCTTGTCTCACTAGTTGTTTTTAACTCCTTCCTAGAGGTGTTTATTACACAGCAACTGTGCAACAGAAGGCGGCAATTCAAGTGTCACAGTCCCACGGGAAAAGCATATTTCACAAGCAAATGCAAAAAACAAGAAAAAGGGGAAGAGACCTCTCCCACTTTTTGCATTTATGACAAAAGCAGCCCTCTTTCCTCCAGGTTCCTCTCCTATCACACAGCACTCAGCTGTAAATTAAATTAATGGTCAATACCAAAGCTGCAGCATCCACAGCTTAAACTGAGTTACAAACCACAGAGAGAAAGACCCCCTGCACCGTTTTATGAATGTTGGGCTGTGGTGCTCTGAGCCCTGGCGAGGTGCCCTGGGACACTTGGCTGGGCAAGGACTGGCAAATCTCCAAACAGATGAAAAATGACTGAAAGACTGAACTGTCTGCTAACTAATGCAGATCCCCAATTGTCTTTGTGCACCTGTTAGCAAAAACAGCTGCAACCACGATGTTTAAGCATTCTACAATACAGTTGTGTGCCTGAAGAAACAACAACTATGGTTTACGTAGCAAGAAAATCAAATCAGTGGGGGCTTTTTTTTTGTAAACCTGGCTAATTTAGCTAGAATAAAAATACTACTTTTGAGGAATAAGCTACATTGAGTTCATTGATAGATGAGGCTCCCTCATCTATCCCCTTCAAACTTGGCTTACTTAATTTCAAACTTGGCATTAGAAATCCAGGCCCACATTCACGTGTCCAGATACCAGCTCTAGGATCAACACATGCCCTTTCACACAGAGAAGTTTCACAGATTCAGATGAGATACGGGTATTTAAGACACTAAAAAATTACTGTAACAGCTCAGGTAACAAGAATTAGGTTTGAAGAGCTTCAATTACTATGAAACCTTCAGTCTACCAGCAACAGCCCAGAAAAGACGCCGTAATCCATTCTGCAGCAATGCAGATTCACATTTTCTAAGTGACAACATTTAGCCCTGAAAAGATATTCTTTTGGGCCCAAATGTTTTCCCTGTTGGGAATAGATGGGAAAACCTAAAACCCACTTTTCCCTCTGCAGCAGTAAAACATCAGCTCTGTGTAAGATTTTCAATTTCCCCTTCAGAAGCATGGAAACTATCTTTTTTTTCTTTTTTTTTCCCCTTAATTCAAAATGTCATTTTATTTTTAAATTGAAGTGATATTTTCTGTCAAAACACTGATCAAAAATAACTACCAAGCTTACAATGCCAGCTTTTTTTTTTACATACACCCAGCAATCACCCTGAAGAAATAATAATAATTCAAAAAAAAAAAAAAAAAAAAAAAGAAAAGAAAAAAATTTCCATTTTAAACGGGCACCAAACCCAATAGCTCTGCTTTGGAAAGTCACTTTTCCCGTTGTTTTTAGCCTGGCATTAAGCTGCACAGGAGCTCGCCCCGAGGCCGGACAAAACTTTTGGAGAGCCCTGCCAAGGGTGCGCACCCCGAGGGGAGCCCTGCGAGCCCCAAGGGACCCGAGCCCTGTCCCCCACCGCCGGGACGAGGAGGAGGAGGGACACTCCGGCCCTGCCTCCCCCCAGCCCGGGCCCCCTCTTACCTGCCACCGGGGAGGGCTTGCGCAGCACCAGCCACCTGCTCTTCCACTGCAACGAGAGGCAAAGGGACAGGGTTAGCCAGGGCCGGGCAGGGGAGAGCGGGCTCTCTCCCCTCGGGGAAAAGGGGCGTCGGTCGGGGACCCCCGGCCCCGCAGGGCCGAAGGGGTGCTCGGAACGGGGACCTTTTTTCCGTCCCTCAACTTGACGTGACCCTCCACCACCACGGAATCCGTCATCTTCAGTCATGATTCCGGACAGCTGCGCCGGCTCGCTGCGCCCGCCCCACGCTCCGGCCGCCCGAAGGGTCACTTCCAAAATAGCCTTAGGAGGGCCCCGCGCGGGCGGCGCGGCACTGCCCGGCCCCACCGCGCTGGGGGGAAAGGGGGTCCCGGGAACCGTTTCACTGACTTCTTTGTTCACGTATTTTACTGTGCGCGTGGTTTTGGTTTGCTTGCGGGTTTGGGTTTGTTTTTTTTTAATCATTATTACTTTTTTTCTCCAGGGTTTCAGAGCGGGAGGCGCGGGCCGGCGCATCCGGAGCGTCGCAGCCCCGCTCGGGCCGCCTCGGTGGATCCGCTCGGGGCGGGGGTCCCGCCCCGATCCGGCTCCGGGCTTTGCGGCCGCCCGGAGGGGCAGCCCCGCTCCGGGCTTTGCCGCTGACCCGACAGGGGCTGCCCCGCGCCCGGGCGGCCGCAGAGCCCGGACCGGATTTTTGCTCGCGGAGCGGGGCCGGCAGAAGCACCCCCTTACCGCACCTTCCTTATAACGCCCAATTCTCACTTTTCAAAAGTGTAATTACAGCTCTGCTTGGCTCCCAGAAGACATGCAGCCAAGTAGCCCAGATAAAAATAATCTTCTCTTTTTTTTTTTCTTCTTTGCAATGCAACTGTCACAAGATAACAACACGCTTATGCCAAGTCCACAGCAGCTACAATTAATGGAATAAGATGTGTTAATGATGTCCTCAGATTTATTTCCACGAGCAATGGACTAATTAGAGTCCATTATTCCAAAAATACTCCTGCTGCATCTTATTTGATGGTAATTAGTTCTTCAGCTTTTTTGAACAGTACCACAGCACATTTTTCTTTCAATAGCATAACAGAAGGGGTTTTTAGATGTTTGCATTTATTTCTTTCCTTTTAATCGATCAGTTTGCATGGAATAACACAAAATTTAATAAAACCATCTTTAAGTGTGTTTTGTAATGAATTAGGAAAGTGTTCCACTGGCTTTGCATTCCAATTCAATTTCAATATAAAGTTAGGGAAAATATCAGATAAAATTTCACTAGTACATCTAAGTTGGACTTTCATTTTAACCAAAGTAATAACCACTTCAAGGAGGTGAAAACTATGGAAGATGAGTTTCCATGGGGTAATGCTCAACAGAAAGACAGAAGGCAGAAGGTGCTGGAGTGCCCTGCAGGAATGTGACTGTTGTCAGGGGTGTGAGAGGTCAGGCAAGGACATCTCACTTATCCTGGTCATTTCCTTTTCATTCCTGCTGTGGGTCTGTGCATTTAATACAGTGCTAGTCACCATACAGCCGATGATAAATTAAATGTTTTTAATTTAGTTCCACAAAGTCAATGCAGTAACAGTGGACAAACAGGCTGCTTTGAAAGTCAAAAATTGATTTTAATGCATTCAAAGTATTACAGTATCATTTGGAGATTTGCTATTTAGACCTTAGAGGGCAGAAAACAGACCATTCAACATACTTTTTTAAAAAGGTGTTATTGTTTGTATTGGTGTTACTGTGTAGTGATACAAGCAGCATGGATTTTGAAAACAGGACAGCTAAAAAGCTCTACACAAATTATCAGAAACACAAGTCTAACACCTTTCCAATCAAACAGCCACTTTCTTTAATGCAACAGAAGAACAGAGAGAGAACACATATAACACAAAACCAGAAGATCATAGGTATGCACAGTGTGGATGGATATTAATTTCAAAGTGAAACTGAAGTCCAAGAACAGACACAGACATTCTGAATGGCTTCAGCTTTGATTGGAAACCTGTTCCTGATGAATCCCTCCCAAAGAAGAGTAAATAATTCCTTCATGCTGATTTAGTACTTGTCTTTCAGCAGGAGGTACAGTTAGTCTTGTTACATGGTCACGTTCATTTCAGGGAGCTAAGGGAGCCAGACTCATACTGCAAATGGCCAAGAATGCAAAGCCAGACAACAAGAGTCTTCAGCTTGTTTTGGAATCAAGACCCCAGAGGTGGATCTCAGTTTTTCAAGCTAGTGTTTAGTGCTTCAGAAAAACAAACTAAAGACTTTGATCTTTGGATTCACAGTATTCATAGCTGAAAAACATAGCCAAGCACTTACATCTGTCTGCTGGAAATTTGTGTGGCACTTGCATAAAACTGGGAGCACCACCAGCTGAAAATGGTCCTTGTGCCCAACTTGCAGATGCCTTCCAGCACAAAGTGTTATTTCATGTTTCTATCAGCTCTCAACCTATAGAACAACCTACAGAGGGATTCAAGGATTTTCCTGTAACTTTATACACAACAGACTAAGTCCCAGAAACAAAGGGTAAATGTTTTTATTAAACAGTTTACATCATTCTTCTAGATTAGCATTGTTACATATTTGTACTTACACAAATTCAGGGTTTGGTTATTTTTCCTTACAAAGTTTCTTTTAACTGCAGATATCATTCACCACTACTAAGAAACCCATGAGGACAGTGCCAGCACTATAAAACAAAACACGTGTCTGAGTATCTAGGCACCAGTTAAAAATTCTGTATCTTAAAGCACAACTTTGCTTGAAACACTTAAGAGAGTTCATAAGTGTTCACTACCAGGGGAGAAATACATTTCACATCAACACTTCAAATGTACAGAGCTGACATGGCTAAAGATTCCAGTATTAAAAAAAAAAAAAAAAAAAAAAGGCAGCTGGAATTTTCTTTGTTGTTGTTGTTGTTGTCATTGAATAATTTTCTTTTTTTGCTAACACAGCTGATTCCATGGCCTCTAAACAGGTATATATTTTAATAATTTCTTTGATTGTTCCCATAACAATTCCACAGACCATGACAGCAAGGCCTGTGATTTATGATACCACCAAATCCCCAAGGAAAATTTCAAGCTGCTCCCCCAGCTATCCAGTTGAAAAATCTATTAAGAAAAACCTCCTTTTTGAATTATATAAGCAGTTGAACAACTTGTTAGTACAAAATCTAAGACATCTTCACTGTCAAATTTAAGAAACGCTTAGGGATTTATCATCAAGGTAAAGTATTTCCATTGCTATCTTCAGGACAAGGAGCAGATCACAGTCTGAAAAAGGTCCTGGCTGTATCGACCTAAATCAGGTGCTCCAACTTCCAACACTTTTCAGCAAGAAACATTGAGCTCCCAGGAGGGGAGCTGAAAAAATTGCACACCAGATTCAGCAGAGCTCTGAGGCACATTCTCAATTTTACATCAGTGGAACATAGTAATATGTTAATACAAAAATATGCTTACGTGTTTGGTTGAAACAAAAACTAAACCCTCTGGGTTTTTTCCCCAGAACTGGTTTCTTGCAGTTAGCTGAGGAGCAGCTTTACCTACGTTATTCTATTGGTGTCTCTTGACCTGAACTTCAAGAGATGACTTCTGAGGGAGAGGGAATTTCATTTTTGGTGCTCCTCCTATTTATTTCTCTATCTTATCTGAGAATACAAGTACAGTGTTATTATGGGTTGGTTTGGGGGATGACCAGAAACCACATAAACACATCAAATCACTTTTTATGTAATCCACCAGGCAGACAGAGAGTTGTAGATTTTTGTGCGCCATCTCAACATGTTTGGGTTTTTTTTTTTATTAAGACAAATAAAGACAGTCATGTACGTTGAGCAACCCACAGCCCCAGAATTCTAGATCAAGGCTGCTGACATCAGATTGATCAGGCCTACTTTTGGTGATCTGGCTTGGAATTGCTATGAATTACCATGACAGTTTTCATACCAGCTTATAATAAAATACTTATGCCACTTTAATGAAACCAGAAGACTCCTGAACCCTGCTTCAAATGCTAACATATTTAACTGTTCAACTAGTTTTTCGGGGGGCTATTTTCTCATTAATCCAGTTTACATAGTTTGTCACTCGTGTATATACTCCGGGTTTGTTGACTCTGCCACAGCCATCTCCCCAGCTGATAATTCCATAGAGGTAAGAGATTTCATTTTCCTCACAGGCCAGAGGTCCACCAGAATCTCCCTGTATTAAAAGTAAACAAAGATTATCTAATTTGATAGAAAGCAGTCAGAAAAAGATCAGTTTGGGAAAGTCCTAAATTAGGAATGTTTGCATGTGAGATTTAAACTTTAAAAAAAAAAAAAATGGAAGCATCAGTGTACTGAAGTTTTGTTATAGAAAGCTTGTTTAGCCATACTCATGTCTAATATAATGGTGGATTTTTTTAAATACACATTGAACAAAAGTATCAGATTTTGTTTAAAAGTAGCAAATTCTTTTAGATTCAGACACCTCATGAAAAGCAGGGTTGATTGAGATCACTTTCAATGGGGGTAAGCAAGTCTTTAGGGATTGGCACTATGCTGTAATATCAGCACTGTATGGATGGGTTACGTGGGTCCATTTGGAGAGTTTCTCAATGCAGTTTACTGTAACTGTCAGAGAACATGATAGTTTTCAAAGAAAGGTGTTGCATATAGACACACTTTTCCATGTGACTGTGGGATGCTGTAATTTTATGTGGCATATGGGGTTTTGGCATCTGTTGAATTTGATGCTACTGAGCATTTACCTTGTCACTAAAACCATAAACCAAAAATCAGCCCAAACTACACTACAGCAAGGATCAATTTGGAACACTTTTACCTATTTTAAAGCTTACAAACATTCAGGATTTGGGTTTTTATTGTCGTTATTGTTATTATTACTACTCTTAGACAGACTTTCTACAGGAATTAAAATGTTAGAAATGAAAAATGTGTACCATTAAATGGTACTGGTGAAAGAGCCACCACTCGTATTGGAGATGAAGGAGAAATATATTTTTTTTCCTATTTCAAAAGAAAATTCCTTCAGCACAAAATACATAGGAAAATTGTGTTGCCTTTACACTAGGAGATTTCTGTGATAAATGATGGACGTCAAATGAACTCTTGCACCTGAGATCAATTTACTTCTCAGAATTTTGCTTATTTTCCACAATTAGTCTCATTGATTGCAATTTTGGTATCAGTGCACTGATCAAAAAAAAAATTTCCAAGAAAATCTTTAAAAAATAATCAAGCAAAACACAATATCTGCTTGGCATTTCTTGGTCTTGAAATATTTTTATACGAAACACATGGTTTACAGGTTAATACCCTAAGTGTACATTGAGAAAGCCTGGAGGTCAGCTACATCTGTTGTGACGTTAAGAGGCCTACAGTATTTCTCCTCAGACCACACTACAAGTCTGACAACAGGGAAAAAGATAATTATTGATTCACTAATAATGATTTCATGTCATGAGCACTGTTCTTCAGCAACATCTGTGACTCT